ACCTTATCAGAGATACCTCTGTACTCTCTAAGAACAGACCTAAGCATCCAGGCTACCTGTTTGAGAAGGCCTGGCAGATGTGCTAATTAAACTTTACTTCCTGCTTTCCCAAACCTTACCTCTAGTTCCAGATCTCCCTTTAACTATTACCAGAGGCATCTAGCTGTACAGGTTGCCAAGCGACCGAGCACACTTTCCCCCACCCTGCAGAAAAATGGCAGATAGCTTGGACAGATAGGAACCACAGGAAAAAAGAAGACAGTTTTTTTTTTCCCATTGACCTATCGACTTATAGATTCTTAACATTTTCTACCAATCACGTTTGAGGTTATAGTTGAGCACATAAGAGCCCTCTTCTTAGATATTACCTGAATTTAGCCTTTAGTTAATTCATTTCCCCATTGGTCACTTCCCTTTGGGGTTGCAAATGATAATTAACCATTACTGTCTCTCTATGTGATTCTTATCACCCCTCCATTTGACCCTGGAAGTCTGGCTTTGCACTGCTAAGGGAATACTGCTTGTAAGTGTATATTTAATGGGACTCCCAGGGCACGGGAGGACGGAGAAGATTTGGAAGAATAAATGACTGGACTAAGAGCTCGGTGTGCTGAGATTCTATTTCCTGAAAACAGTCCTCGATGTCCGTAGTTCTCTCTCCTGAGCCCCTGGGATGTGTGATATTAAGGCTGCTCCCGCTAATTATACAAGACTAAAGTAAGTTCTGCAGGTCCAAGAAAGTGTGTTGTGCCATCAGGTGTTCAGTTTTACTCGGTCCCTGGAAGAAACAGGGTCACTCTAGGATGAATCTTAGCTTTTGCAAGCCACAGGCAGGGAAGCCAAATTTTGGTGAGCTGACTGTATGCAAAAGGTTTTTTTTTTAATTGTTATACAATTTACACCTTAGCAAGTCAGTTTCCACATCCCACAGCCTCTTATCTGGAGCTCCCTAAAGAGACAGGCTGAAGCAGTCCGCAGCCATGGTTTTCCAAGTCCCATTGCAACCAAGTTTTGCAGAGGCTTTGAACCCTTCAGGAAGAACTCGGTAAGATTTACATCCTTCAAACAAAAGGTAGTGGACACAAAAGGCAGACCAGAGCCCAGTGGCTGGCGACTCGCTGGGATCCAGCCAGCCAGCCGCAATGCTCTTTGGGAACTCCCTCTCTGGTGTAGAAAGGCCCGAGGGTCTAAGACAGTGATTTAAGGCATGTAAACAGCCATTCTGAAGGTATAAGTGTTTTGTTCCCCCCCCCCCCCAGACAGGGTTTCTCTGTGTAGCTTTGCGCCTTTCCTGGAACTCACTTGGTAGCCCAGGCTGGCCTCGAACTCACAGAGATCCGCCTGCCTCTGCCTCCCAAGTGCTAGGATTAAAGGCGTGCACCACCACCACCCGGCTGTATAAGTGTTTTAAGGTAATGAAAAATGATTCAGATTTCTTTCTCTCTCCATACTATTGTTATATTAAGATATCAAAAGTTCAGGAAACCTGTTCCCAACCGCTCAACCTGACCACTGCTGTGGTGGGGTGTAGTGATCCCCTGCAGACCTTACAGCAGGTGGGAAGAAATGACCCACGAAGAGACAAGAATGAAACGCGGCTCAGCCCGATTTTATTACAACCGGTTTTGGACCAGAACTTCTAAGTCTGGCGCAGATCATTTTACATCAGCCATATTTAAGCACAGCACAATTTTGAAATAAAGTATTCAGATAACAATGAACTCAGCCCCAAGTGCACAACAATTCAAGGTATGTTTACACTGAGATTCCTTACAAAGTCCATCTGGCCTCTTTCACAAGAATGGGTACTGTTGACTCAGAGAGTGCCAAGATTCGGGGTCTGGGGAGTTTGACTGAGGTAAACAAAACACAGAAGTCACTTAGGCGCTGGTAAAGCACAGGGGGCCTCACTCATAGAGTGGGTTTTATGGTTTAAAAGCAGTTCTCAAGATTTAGGGGAAAAGTCTTGGATAAGTAAAAACATAAATTCTGAGAGATTCGGCAGAGCCTGTTTGTCTCTTCAGACGGCAAGGGATCACCAGGCTGTAAAACGAGATCCTGGTGTTCCTGGAAGAGCAGCTTCTCCTCATCCCACTGGAGAAGTAGCTGGTTTCCTTAGTTCATCCAGGATCTCCAGTGGGCTGTGCAGATGATCCGTATGCTCCAAAGTCAGCGAGGGTGAGGTTTACTAACAGCAGAGAAAGGTGGTCTTTGCCTCTTCCTCAGGGAGGAATGTGGCTTCCATGTCATCTGGATGCCTATGGCCAGTGGCTTTGACAGTCCAGTATGGAACTAGATACTTCCTTTCCTAACCCCCCCCCCTCCCTTTCCAAATCCTACTAATTGCATCTTGTCTTATAAACTTCTTATCTAGATTTCTTCTACAACAGATCCTAAAGATTGCTAACCAGATATTAATCAGTTACGGGATTACGGACTCCTGGCTACAGAGTTAGAGGCTACAACACCAATTATATCCTGCCAGTGACATCAGGCTTGCCATCAACAGGAAGTAGTCTAATGGTAACATCACCCCCTTTCTTGTAACCTGATTGTTTTCAATAATAAACAAAAGAGGGGGGAATGTAAGCCCCTCAAGGTACACAAGGGGCAGCCCCTCCCCTGAGGACCTCCAACTTTCAGGCTCCACCCACAGAACAGTCGAACTGGCCTAAGGGCCAGACCCTGTCCTAACCCTACAGAATAAAAACCCAAATTCTGGGCTTGAAATCCCACCAACCCCACCCTGGAAAGTTCTGCTCCCCTCCCCATGGAAATCTATATAAACCCTGCCTTCTGATCAGTCCCCTGCTGATTCTCACCAGAGCAAAGGCAGCCACCCTCCTGGGGTTTTCCCCTCCCAATAAATCTCTTCTGTGGTTTGTTGTGCAATGTGATTTTGTGATATTCCTTGGCTCCTGACTGCCAGGATACCTTTCCATCCCAGCTATAATGCTTACATTGGGAAGTCTCTAAATGTACTGACCTTGCTTTTTGGCTTCCGTAGTTCTGCTTCTGACTAACTGTTTTTGTTAACTGAAGTATGTCCACCCAGAACATGGTTTTTGTGTGTAAAAGCTCATCCTGAGAAAGGGTCAGGGCTCCACTGGGATCCTGACCACCCAATGCAGTTGCTGGCTGGCTAGTGAAGAGTTTCTGTTGGGTTAAACCGGTGTCTGAGCAGTCTTCTCTGGTGGAACCCCACAACAGCTGCTAACCCTGACAACCTGGGTTCCGCCCCCAGAAAGCGTTCTTCTCACGACCACACACGCACTGTGCTGTGTGCACACACACAATACACTCTATTTTTAGACTTATGTATTTTATTTCATATGTATGAATATTTTGCCTATAAGTGTGTCTGTGTGCCACAAGCATGCCTAGTGCCTATGGAGGCCAGAGAGGGTGTTGGATCCCCTGGAACTGGAGTTACAGGTGGTTGTGAGCCTCCACATGGGTGCTGGGAATTGAACCTGGGTCCTCTGCAAGAGCAGCCACTGCTCCTAACCACTGAGCAGTCTTTCCATCCCCCAAAATAAGCAAAATAACCTTTTTCAAAGGCAACACATACATAAATGAAAATATATACCAGGGTCAGGGTCAACCTGGAGGCAGAGTGCTTGCCTAGTATGTGTGAGGATCTGCATTCCATCCTCAACCCCATAGAAAGAGGATCCCTTGCTCTATAAGATCCATAAAATTTAGCAGGCAGTGGTGGCACTCACCTTTAATCTCAGCACTCAGAGGTAGAAGCAGGCAGATCTCTGAGTTCCAACCTAGTCTACAGAGTGAGTTCTAGGACACTCAGGGCTGCCTAGAGAAACCCTGCCTCAAACAAAACAAACAAACAAACAAACAAACAAAAACCACTCCCACATTAAAAAAAAAAACTTATTTTGCCTGTGATCAGGCCTTCAGGTCCATCTTATTCGTTTCTTAAGTCAACAGCTGCACAGCCACAATAATTTCATTTGTCAAAGGTCCTAGAACTGAAAGTATTCAAACTTCTCCTTTCTCCTCTTTTTTTTTCCGTTTATTTTTCGCTAATATTTTAAAGCATTTTTTGTTTATCTCTAATTTATAGCAGGATCTCATATAGCCCAGGACCTCGAACTCAGGGACACTGACGTGACTAACACCATCTTGTTCTGATTCCGTTTGCGCCTGCCGAGACACTCTCAGCCTGCCACCCGCTAACAGCCACACCTGCCTTGGCAACACTTTGGGGGCTGTCCTTGACCCTGACCGTGGTCCAGATGTATTAACCAAAATAATGTTTGTGCAAGCTAAAACATAAAACTAAAATAACTAGAGGAAGTGTAAAGCAGAAATAATTGTCTTGTGTTGGAAAACACTGCTAAAATGTGCAAAAAGACATACGTTATCCCGTGACTCCAACCCCCAGCCCCACACGGACACAATTGGTTCTTAAGGGTTTTGTCTTTAAAAACCGCTGCACTCCTGGGCTTCCGCTGCTCTTTTTTTGTTTGTTTGGTTTGGTTTCTCTGTGTAGCTTTGGCACCTTTCCTGTAGCCCAGGCTGGCCTCTGCCTCCCGAGTGCTGGGATTAAAGGCGAGCGCCACCACCGCCCGGCCTGTGGCTGCTCTTGATCTAGCCATTCATTATTAAAGCACTCTTGGAGTTTTCACTGGCTTACTTAAATGAGCCTGGTTGTCGCTAACTATCTCCTATGGGTCATTTCACCCACCAGCACCCGCCTTTTGGAGTTGTTGGAGTGACAGGTCAGCGGCGCCGGGCCACCCATTTCCCTGAGAAGGTAGGAGGGGTCGGTGGGTGGTGTCGCATGGAATTCTGGGGAGTGTAGTCTCGACAGGGAGCTAAGCCGCCTCCTCATCGCCCTGAGTGGTGATTAAGGGCGGAAGTTCTAATTCTTTTTCCGCAAACATCTCTCAAGGGTGTGCCCAGAGGGCGTGGCTCCACCGGATTGGTCCACAGTTTCTGCGTATGCGCACTAGCTGCCTTTGCGGTGCCCATTTGCAAGGTCTTCTGGGAGTTGTAGTTCGAGGTTCCAGGCTGTCCGAGGGCGTTAGCTGGTTCCTGAGTTCCCAGGAAGGATGGATTCCGGGGCGGACGCGGAGCCGCTCGCGGGCCTGGTCTGGTCGTCAGTCCTGACGCCGCCGCCGCCGGGTTTCAGCGCGGTGAGCAGGGGGCGGGCAGGGGCGGCAGGGGCGGGGCAGGGAAGGGACAAAGCCCGCTGATCCCTGCGACCCGCAGATCACCTGCACCGTGGAGGGCGCGACCGCCAGCTTCGGCCGCAGCTTCGCGCAGAAGGCTGGCTACTTCCTGTGCCTGAGCCCGCTGGGCAGCCTGAGGGTGAGCAGGGGCATCCGGAAGCCTGAGCCCTTCCCGACCCTCCCCCTGCCCGCTGACACCCCTGACCCTCTTCCAACTCTCCCTTGACCCTGCCCGGTGACACCCACTGCGCTTCGTCCCTGCTCACACCGTTAACGCTGCACCCCTGCTGTCCGCCCTCCTCCGTCTGCCCAGAGCGCTCAGGACAATGTGGTAGTGGACATGCAGATCGTGATGGACAAGGGCCCCCTGCCGTCCGGCTTCTCTGCGGTCAACGACCCTCTAGACACCAGTAAGATCCGTGGGCCCACGGAAGAGCACCAGGCTTAGGGAGCGCCTGTCTGGTACAGAATTTGTCCTCCCTGGGTAGAGAGGCACAACCTGTTAATGAAGAACGTGGGAAGCTGAGGCAGGAGGATGGTAGGGAGTTCACGTCTAGCCTGGACTACAGAGTGAGGCTTTGTCTCAACTCACTACCCCCAAATTAAACAGTTGACACACTCCTGTCACAGTAGCACTCACGCTGAAGCAAGAGGATGGCTGTGGGTTCGTCCCAGCTTTCCCGAGAAGTGGGGCGTGGGGGGGCACACCTGTCACCAGCCTGGGCTACACGGAACCCTGTCTCAAAACAAACCACAACCCCAAGTGTTTTTGGCGCACCCACCCGCCTTACTGAGGGACGCTGGTCACCGCTGCTTGCCCTCCGCTCCTGTGGCCGAGGGGATCCTCCTCGCCGTTCTCTTTTCCTTTCCAGGCCCTTGCACAGCGGGGACACCTGGAGCTGGCTTTCCCCGCTCTCTGCATAGCTCAGCCTCCCCTCCCCCCACCCCCTGCCCGACCCGGCCGCCCACCTCCCCGATGGTGCTTGGTTCTCGAGGTGTCTTTAGTGGCTCTGCCGAGGGTCAGGTCAGTGTGCAGACAGGAGGCTCCCGGAAATCCCCCTACCCTCCTTTTGCTGCTGTCTCTCTCAGGCTTTGCAGGTGGGGGCAGGGTCTCAGTGTGTAGTCCCGGCTGGCCTGGAACGTCAGTCCTCTCCTTCAGGGATTCACTGGCATGAACCATCATGCCCAGCGCCTTGCAACTGTCTTAACCTGCCGGGTATGGGGCTGCTGCTCTTTATCCCAGCGCTTGAGAGGCTGAGGCAGGAGGATTGCTTCTAGTTCAGAGCCCCTTTGGGCTTCGTGGTGAATTCCAGGGCAGCATAGACTACAGAGTGAGACCCTGTCACAAAAGCCAGGGCTGGGACTGTAGCCCGGCTAGCAGCTTCTCACTGTGCATGGAGCCTGGCTCCATCCGCAGCACCACATAATGGGCATGCCATCCAGCACTCAGGAGGCCATCCTCTGCTACATAGTGATTTTGAGGCCAGCCTGGGCTACTTGAGACTCTATCTCATAAACACAAATACATATGATACAAATAGCCTTTCCCACCCCAAGAGGCACACACAACAGCCTTGGGCTGGATTTTTTTTTTTTAAAGAGAAGTTCTCTCTCTCTCTCTCTCTCTCTCTCTCTCTCTCTCTCTCTCTCTCTCACACACACACA